AAAGGTTCATAACGAAAATCAGAAGCTTATGTGGCTCCGTCCCGTATAGCTAGAGCCCCCAGCGCACGCAATACGCGTGCGTAGCCGCCTGGTTATTTCAAAATAAATTTATATATTCATATTCTTTATTTATATTATATTCATATATCCTTCTGCAATAATTGAGAGTATTAAAATCATGGAGTGAACAGCGACAACCAATATGTCATCCTTGCGATAGAAGGATTTGTAAAGGAACAATGCGGACCCACCTATCGTTCTTTTTTCTGACCATTCTTGAATTACAATAATGTTTCGATGTCATGGTCACTTTAGAGCCCCATGCGTCCTACTTGAGAGTAATTCGCAGTACGTGTGTAGTAATGGACCATTTATGGGATGCTTTACTGGTTCTTTCGAACGATATAGTGTGAAAGGGCTGCGTGTGGGCGTGTCCGGCCTCCTCAAATGGATGCTTCCCCTCACAGTACAGATGCGTCGAGGGACTACGCAGATTGAGGAGGCTAGAAGCTCGACCAGAACGCCACCACGTCTTGAAAGGCCACAAGCAAATATCAGTTGCAGATAAGCAGTGTGGCCTGACCTCAAGCTATGCAGGGGGAAGCGTCTGCCGACGGTGATCTTGTCTAAAGAAATACCGACTAGGTTTTAAGGACCACAGAATTCACTTCCATGTTTAAAGAAGTAGTGAGGGTGCAGAACATTTACAACATAAAGAATTGAGAGAGTTATACTGAAGTTTCGCACTAAACTGTACCTATCCACACACATCTGCGAAATCCAGACATCTCCACTGAAGAAATAGTACCGCAGATCATTCCTTCGGATGTGAATGTTGCGATTGCGAGCAAATGAAGGGGTTCTACTTCGGCTCCCAATAAGGCCCCAGCCGACTAGTTCCGTGCAGGTGGTCACGAATTTCATGCGCTTCTCGCAACACACATGACATCCATTCCTGAAAAGGGGAGGATTCCCAACCGTGAGAGGTCTCGCGGATGGTCTTTCTTCCTCAAGAAATCCCATTTGCCATCAGAGAAATGGGCCTCCGCGTTCAACTCCCCTTAAGAATCGTAGTGGCGTAATGAATTCGTATTTGGCCCATACAATGACTTGGTGGCCAACTGACGTACAAGACCGTGGTTTTATCTCCCCATACGAGTCTGGCACCAATTAACCGAAGGAAGAGAGTCCGAATGACTTTTGCCCTTGGGTCTGTTAGCTACAAAAAAAGCTTCTGGCAGTGACGAAACGAATGCAGCCTGTCAGCACTGGTCGATGAACGATGGGGCTTTCCTATATATGAACAGGCCGACTGCAGTAGTCGCTGCAGTGCGACGATACCGCTGTTCACATGCCTCTCGCCATTCCCAATCAGGTGTATGTATCTTAGACCCGAGATCCGTCCAATAGAGTTTGCAGAACATCACCAATTCTCGATCATGAACACTTTCTTCAAGAAGAAAGCCAAGCTCTTTGGACATGGAGGAGCCCGGACATGAAAACTTCAAGACAGATTGATTATGTGCTTACCGATACACCAAGATTGGCACCAAGACGTCTCCGTGATGACTGCGACCGGCTCCGATCACCGACTTCTACGCTCGGTGTCCTCTGCGATGTCAGAAAAGAAAATCGAGTTCTATATTCGCGGAAAACCCTCATACGACGTACTTTCAACGCCGATACAGACCTACAGATGAGTATTGGCAATAGCATAGATGCCAACTACGAAGATCTAGTGGGAAAAATGAGCGCAGCAACAGAACCAGCGAGGCGACGGCGCATATCGTCAGAAGCTGTGCAAATGATGAAGAAGAGAGCGCGCATGAAAGCCGAAGGCCAAGCGCAAACCGCGTATTACAAGGAACTCTGTGAAGCGATAAGGAAAAAGATCAAACACGACTGTGAAGGCTACAGGCTAAAGAAGCTTCGCGAAGCAGCTGAGAGAAGGGTCAGTCTGAAAGCCGTAGAAAGGGATATCTGCCTTAGGCGCCACATACCGTCTGCTCTCAAGGATGATACAGGTGTCAGGACGACTAATCGCACTAATCGCCTGCGGATGAACGCAATATGTACCAAGTTCTTTAACGACTTGTGCTCCTCGAAGGTGGTCGTCACAAGGGCCGATCAAATCACTGCAGACGAACCGTTCCCAGATATCATGTGGGAAGAAGTGGAGTATGCCGTAAAACAGATTAAGGCGGAGAAGACCCCAGGTTGCGACAACATATGTCTCGAGCATCTGAAATCAGGTGGATTACCTCTCTTTAAAGCGCTGGCAGAGAGCTTTAGCAGGTTCTGCAGCGAGAATATTATTCCGGCGGTGTGGAAGAAATCAAGCAACATACTGCTATGAAAAAAAAGGCGATCACGAGAGTTTGGACAACTTTAGAGTTGGAGACCTGGACTTGGCCATGAGCCGTTAGCAAGCGGGATTTCGAGAAGGGTATTCTACACTTGACCATCTCCACGTCGTACGTCAGCTGACCGAAAAATGTGGAGAGTATCGGATTCCCTTATGCATCGCGTTTGCCGACAACAGGAAAGCGTTCGACTCGGTTGAAACAAACGCGGTGCTAAATGCGATGAGTAGATACGGTGTCAATTCGTGCTATGCCGACCTTCTCGAAGAGCTGAATAAAGGCTGTACCACTGAAATCAAGCTCTTCAATGATCCATTTCAAATAAAGCAAGGGCATTCGACAAGGCGATACGATTTCTCCGAAATTGTATGCATTAACTTTGGAAGCCCTGTTCAATGATCTTGACTGGACTGGAGGTATAGAGATCGAGACGGAGAACATCTGACCTATCTCTTTCCCGACGATTGCGTCATTTTGCACATGAAGCCCTAGAGCTCCAGGTGAAACTTGTGCAACTAGAGATGAAATCAAGTGAAATCAGTCCTACAGCGACAGTCAAAATAAATGGCGAAATCATCGAAGAAGTGAAAAGCTTTAAGTACTTCGGACACCAGCTCAGTTTCACAGAAGGCGGCAGCGGAGAGTACACCACGCGCAGGAAAGCAGCTCGGTCTAGCTTCAGCAAAATTTCAACGCTACTACTAGACGAAGACCTCCCGATGAAACTGGAAGCGTCCCTTTTCCAC